CTAGCATTTAAAACCTCCTTTACTCCCTCCCTCCAACCTTTCCTAGTATGATTCCTATGTCTACCTTCCTCCACCTGATTTATGCACACTGCTTGTCATCCTATTTTGCTACATTCTCTCTTAAATGTTCAAACCATCTTGATGACCCCTTCCCAGTCCTCTGAATAATACATTTGGCAACCCCACAACTTCTAATCTTCAAGCTCCGAATTCTCTGTGTAATAGTGACACCACACATAGCTCTCAAACTTGACATCATCACTGCCTTCACACTCCTCCTTTTTATCCATGCTGTAACACTTAAAACCCATGCTTCACACCCATATAATGTTGGTAAACTATGGTACATTTCTATTTTGCCTCCATGGATGTTGTTTTGCTCAAACGCAAATCAAAATACTACACATACTGTATACAGCCTCTCCTCACTTAGCAACGGAGTTGCATTCCTAAGGCCACTTTGGTAAACGAATTCATTCGTAAGCGAGAAGCATACTATAATGGTAGTGGGTTTGTGTCAGCTATCTTTGATATTGTTTTAATGTCACCTTTGCACCATTTATAACATTTTTGGTATATTTTTAAATGTGTATACAGTAGTGAACTGTATATTACAATGAATAAAAGGGAGGAAATCAGCTCTAATATACATTTACGTATGCATAATGGTCAGAGAGCCCGTTGTAAGTCCAAGGCGTCGGTAACGAATACATCGTTAAGTAAGGAGAGGCTGTATATATTATTGTACAGTATAATTAGAGTGGAGAACTTAAATTACTGAGTTTGGTAATCATAAAATGCAGCCTCTTCTCACTTAGCAAGATGTACTCATCTACTGACGACTCAGACTTATGGCAGGCTCTCCGACCAGTATGCATGCCTAAATAATGCATATTAGAGCCGATTTCCTCTATTCTGTTTATTACAATATACAGTACACTACTGTATAAACATTTAAAAATATATTAAAAATGTTATAAATGGTGCAAGGGTGACATTAAAGCAATATCAAAGATGGTTGACAAACCCACCACCATTATAGTATGCTCCTCGTTCAGCGATGAATTCGTTTACCGATGCAGTATTAGGAACGGAACTTTGCCATTAAGTGATGAGAGGCTGTAGTTAAGAATGAATAAAATTACTGTGTCTTATTAATAAATATTACCTGATCTTAACTGCAATTTACTTATGTATTTTGTATAATAAAATTATTTAAGACTGATTCAAACTGAAAAATCAAAGACTGATATTACTGAACAGTTGTATACAATCCTGGGACTTGTACAAACTAATAATAAACACTGAGAAATTAATGGACAAGAATAAATTTTAAATTACTAAAAATTAAAAAATTACTCTAAGGCATCCTATAATTATTGGAAGAGTGGGACAATGATTTTAATTACTGTGCATATTATTTTATTAGGTTGAACTAAATTATTGTGCTATTTTTTTAAATTAATGTGAAGCTAAACCTGCACAGGTCAAACAGTATAAGAAATGGTGGAGGATTAATCCTCCATCTGATAAATGAAAGACAAGCACAACAGCAATGGCACAGCCAGGATTTCAATCTTTGAGGGGCTTAACCCAGGATTTCAATCTATGAAGGGCTTAACCCAGGATTTCATCTGGAAAGGGAAAGAGAAGTTTTAATCATAGGATGCTGAAAATATCAAAGAAATTGTTTTTCAAAACATGATTTTTCAGTATGTGTGAAATTTCTTCAACTATAATGCTTTTATGGTCACTGGTCAAGACAGTGAAAATTAGCTGGTAACTTTTGGGGCTTTATGACATAAGCCTGTCTTCAAGCTATGCTACTGCCATTCAGTATGTACCAAACCTTCCCTGGTAACTTTCAGAGGTATCTTCTAACTACTGGAAAGTAGAGAGCTTATATAATTAGATTTATATACATTACACTGAACTATGTTAAACTTCGAATCTCCAACACTGATGACTCAAATTACTGGGATGTGCCGATTAAAAATTATGTACTGGTAAGACAAATACAGTAAACTGACATATTTGGCTCTCTTAAATTACCAAGTAAGGCTTCCACATGTACACCTTTAGACAGTTGATGTGATTTCACCAACATGGCCCATTACCTGGCCTAGAAGACTGCCTGCAGGATGCTATCTGAGAGAAGCACATCACAACAGGTCAAACACCTCTTGAGGTGTTATGTTCATGAAGGAAGATACTTAAACCTCTTTTGTTCATTCCCTTTAGAGTAATACAGTTCATGACATAAAAGAATCATATTACAAGGTCTTGAGTCCTAGATGTTTTAAATAACCTCTCAAGAAATTCTCTGCTCTCAAGCAAAATGAATTTACTAAAAAAATTGGTTAAAAACCACTATTCCTTAAATTGTTTTATACAAAAACGAAATTCCCTTTAAAGAAAATGTACAGCTTAAAATTTGCAATGACCATCTTTATCCCAAGAAATTTCAACAACTATAACATTGACAAAATGAATAATAATAATAAAAAATAATAATAGTAATAATCTTCCTTTCTACAAGTACACGATACAACGGATAAAAATCTGACATCATTGGTATACTACATAGAAAGCCCCTGGTTATGCAGATCATTTCAGAAAAACAACAAAAAAATCAGAACCCAATTATCTTAAAACTCAAAGTAACAATATACCCTTCGAAAAAATATAATTTCCCCCACTTAAGCAATCGTGGTACTGGATAATATCTCTAATAATTAGCCTAAGATGACAACACCTTAAACATATTAGTTACAGGATATTTTTTTTATTCTATCTAATCTGAAAAATTCTTTCATCCTGTATTGTCCTTATTATTCCTTCAACTCAAGTACTTAGCTTCATCCTTATTATGAATTATAATTTTTATCTGAATTACTAAATACACGTACCTTCAATGTACAATGTACTAAAGACTAAGTATTCTTAGTCTCATATACATCATATACATGTACTTGAAATCATAATTTAGTTTTAAGGCTGCCCAAAATGTCCTGCATGAAAAGGAGCTTTATAGAAAGTAGTTTATACCTGTCAACTACCCTAACTGTATTGCATACTGTTCTCTGTTAAATGAAACTAGGGAAAGTAGAGTCTCAGTTTAAAGTTTGAAAGTTACCCATCTTCACAGCCACGACTAACCATCAACTGGTGCTACATACCAAATGGATGAACATTTTCTGATCTCTCTCCTAATATCAAAGGAGGTGGAGCTTGGGTGTAGGGGAGGGGCTTCAAGTGCATAGGGGTGGGAAGGGGTTGGGTTTATTCTCATAAAAAATCTTGGAAGGGGAGGGACACAGAAAAGAGGGAGGGAGTCAAAAGCAGTATGGGGAGGAGCTTAGAAGGGCTAATGTCTGGAAGTGAGAGGGGAGAAAACTGTAAGAAGAGTCACTGCAGAAAAGCTAAATTTGTAAAAAAATCTGGTAAATTTCAGCAACTCTAAGACATTTAAAACTGAAAAACAGTATATAAGTGAAATATACATAAAACAGAAAACTACTGCAAATTATAAAAAATATTTCTATAAAATAAAAATCTTTTAAACCCTAAAATACATGTCATTCTCTATTTGTATATTACTGTATTAGTAAAAAAATTTATTGCTGTTCAAAGAAAAAGAATATTACCAGAAACCAGTACATAGTAATAACTGGCAACACACCACAGGTAAAGATCCACTCTGAGAACAAGAATTAAATTGCAGTTGTAGTATGTCAGAGTGTGAATGAGTGAATGCGAGTGAGTGTGCGTGCATGTGTGCATGTGCATTCATGTGTGCATATGTTCCTGTGCGTGTAAATAAATGATGAAAGAGGGTGGTGTTGTGAAGGGGAGGCCTCAAGTCTTTGTTGTGTGGTTAACCACAACTCTTGAAAATAAAATACAGTAGATGCAGACCTCAAGAGTAGCTCCACTCAACTTACTTTTTTGTTTATTAATTTTTGTCCTATTTTTATTTATATATATATAAAAGTGAAAAAAAAACTTTGTTACATGCTTGCTTTCATCTACTCATGCACAATCCAACAAGTCTTATAGATGTTCTGAACTACAAACAAGCAGAACCCATTCCCTCTGTTTTACAAAGTTGAAGATATTAGAAGAACAGTTATAAATACAATACAGCATATATCAGATACCAGAATTCTCTATAATCACTTCTGAGTATACCATACCAGGAACCTTCATAATCACATGTTATAGTATTTTATTTTTTCAAGTCTAGGGTAGCACTGAAAATTACAAGGTTAATAATTTACTTTACATTTTTTTTTTACATATAAAAAAAATGTGTAAACTAAAAAATACTTGGAGACATGTAATGCATTTATTTACATAAATGTTCTTCTTTAAATTTGAAATAATTTTTCTCAATCAGTGAATAATATTTTGCTTTGTAATTCTCCATTTTCCACCAAGACAGGATGACCCAAAGTATAAGTTAATTTCCTCAAATGTCTGTATAAAAATATTGTTAAATGCCTGTTAGTACATGTATACTTTATACAGGATTGTTACTTATATTTAAACCCAGAGATCGTGTGAGGATCATTCAGGCCACATTTCATTATACTGCCAGTCTATGATACTTTATCCCTCAAAGACAAAAGAAAACCCTCAGTGTACATACAAAGAAAGTAAATAATTAAGTTTATTTAGGCACAGGTACACATAAGTACAATTTTCATACATAGTGTAAATTACCTAGGATAACCTCCGAAAAAGTCAAAGTGACTTGTATCCACAGTGTATATACCCTGATATCTAACACTATCAAAAGAAGATTAAGCTTTTTGCATTTACTGTAAGAGTCATAGTAAATGTTTTGCAGATGAGAAAAATACGTACTACAAATATAAAATGCTAGTGAAAAAAAATTCTACATCTATAATTCTTGAATTTTATCTACCTACACAAGTTCCAGCAGATGCAAAAAAAAAAAAATATTACAATACTCATAGGCAACAAATACAAACAGATAATGTATATATTTATTAAAATATCACAATAACTGTTCTAATACTATCTATAAACTGCAAGTCGTACAGTACAGTACATGTAAAGTTGTAAAAGAAATGTTCAAACACCTAAACACTTCTCTGAGCACTGCAATAAAGCATTACATACTACAAAATCAAGAATACTGCATATACTTTCTCTGAATAAGCTTATCTTAAAATGTGTATATATTCAAAAGAAATAAGAAAATTTTAAATGATCACAAAAGCTACTTTTTTTTATTACAACTACAACCAGCTACTATAATAATTTAACTGATGATAAAATTTTAACCAAACCATTACCTACTAATTCTAAAATAAATGTACAATACTTTAATGTATGTAACAGATATTTAATCCCAAATTATAAAGATTGGTACAGGTAGTCAGTGGTAACTAACAAATTACAGAAAACTACTTTTAGTTTTTTTTTTTTTTGAGGCAAAAAATTCTGAATTTCATTGTGTTTATCCTTTGAGGTGTGACCAGGAGAATGTAGGGGAAAACAATAAATCTGGAACCCATGATTCACAAAAATCCCAATAAACTAAATGACCTGGATCATGAAATATAATGAATACCAGTCTGCCATTATCATTATACAGCATTAAAGAAACAAATGCTGTACCCATTCATGAGGATCATTAAGTGCTGCTACAGATTACCAGGAAAATCTTGGCTTCATTTTAACATTCTTGCCAATCTTTCTAAAATATTTCTAGACTTTTCAAAAGTTCCCTACACAGACCCTTACCCTCAAAATCTACATAAGGTTGCTACTCCCTACAATATCAATATAAACATCAAAATGGTATACAATACCGACAGGTTGGTAGGTAAGACACATAGGCAACAGTTAGGCAACTTTATTCCGAAACGTTTTGCCTACACAGTAGGCTTCTTCAGTCGAATACAGAAAGTTCCATAGTCAGGAACTGAACTTCTCGAGGCCGAGGGACTGACAACTTCAAATTCTACGACTTCAAGGGTGATGGACTGATTACATCGTCTTCACATCTCTACTGTTCCTGCCTACTTTCTGTATTCGACTGAAGAAGCCTACTGTGTAGGCGAAACGTTTCGGAATAAAGATGCCTAACTGTTGCCTATGTGTCTTACCTACCAATATCAATATAACTGCTATCTGTTACCCAAATGTACTTAATTTATCACTTCAGAAACATCCAGAGTGAAATTATATCTCGTAGAATATTTGCTACTATAAATATCTAACAACGAATCTTCCACAATGTCACTCGCCATTTTTTTTATGTGAATAACCTTACTGATTACATACTAACCTTTATTTAAGCAAAGAACTTCTGAAATATTAAATCTACAATTTTTTTTACATTTACAGTGATTTTGTTTTAAATGTAATAAACTATTTTAAGTAAAACAATTTACTGTATTAATTACTAAGGAAACAAGTTTTAATAAATGGTGCTTTTAATAAGTCTTTAAAGTCATTTGAATATTCACAAAGGAAGAAAAAGCTTAATTTACACATCTCTCAGTTGTGGAATAACTATTTTCCCATGGATGCAACCTTCCTGTGAGAAAATGGTCAGCCCCTCATCCTTGACACAATACAATCTTTCCTGAAGTCCTTTTTTCCCCCTCCTTTTTAGCCACACTGCTTTCTTGCTATAGTTCAAATGAATAACCTGAATATAATTCATTCTCCTGCTACACTATATTCAATGAAAATGAATAAACTAACCAATTAAACTAAATATTATGGAACAATTTAAATTAAATCAAATCTAACAAAATCCCTTCTAGAAATTTAAACTATTTTTCATTCTTCATATCAATACTTCTTTAAGAGTTCTAATTAAGCTCCAATCCTATCCCCCAAAAATCATGTGACAAACATAATAATCTATATACACAACATCTATTTAAGTAATACCATTTAAATGTTTTATCAAAAATATTTTAAATCACCTGAAAATACACCTTCACATCTACCTGATATCTCAAGTCTCTTACCAAGACAACTGTGTCTCAGGTTACCTGACAGAAGTGCAGGTAGTAACAACTGATGACCGTACTCACCCACCACTAACCAGAGTTCCATGACAAAAGGTATTTCATCCTTCCCTTCCACCCTCACCTTGCTCCTAACTTTTCACATGTTCTTATCCCTTTCTCTGACTCATGTTCACAGTTTCTTTTAAACCTATTACACTAAATCCAAATACTGTACATATTTATTCTTCATTGCCTATTTCCAAAGCATTCTTCACATGAAAAAACACCCCAAAAAAGGATTTTCCATTATATAATTTAAAGTTAAGCCTAGAAATAAATTACCTTAACCTCTGATCCTGCCTTTTACAATATCTCAAAGCTGGTTTTTATTTAACTTCATTTTTGCTTTGAACTTTTTCTCAATTTACCATAATACTACTTCTAAGTCTATATTACCATAATAATTCTCATAAGACTACATTACCTAATATGTATTCTATTATTCTTATCCAACTTTGTCTTACTCTCAACTAACACTTTAGACCACACCTTAATGCCTATTCGTCCTATTCTTCTTTAATTAGTCCACCTCATATTGTATCTAACCTTGACATTTACAAACCTCAATACTGAACCTCCTTACAACAGTTTATAAAACACTACTTTTTACTCTGTTCTACCCTAATTTATATTAGTTAATTCATGCTATCTACTGTTACCTTCATCTAGCCTAATATTTCCATTACTAAACATGTCTTTAGTGTGGTCCTTGCCTTAGTCTTGGCAGTCTTCACAGCTTCCTCCTGGGTACCTGAAGTCTGAGCTCCAATGGGTTGGGTCCAGTCTATTCATCCCCCTGGAAGCAGAGGGTAGGGTGAGAGATTAAACATAAAAAAAATTCCAGGCTGGGCATCACATGACATAAAAAAGCTGCCAGCCATCATTCAAAGGGCTGACAGCACGTGCTGAACCCTTTTCACTAGGGTTGGTCTCAATAGTCCCCTCCCACTGGCTGGTGGGGCCAAAGGGGTGCAGACCAAAGGATTATGGTCACCCCAATTTTTTTCATCCTTTTTTTTCATATGTGGACCAACTTTTTCATAATAAAGGGGTATGTGCCAACAAGCTCCTAGGTGGGGTGCGCGTGGCTGGTTTTGTCATGGATTCGAGATCGATCGACGCAGAATGGCAAAATAGGCTGCGTGCGCCAGATACAAGCTGCAGCTCGCTGGGTGTGGATCACATCGACTAGTTGAGTCCCGCTACTCAGGTTATCAAGAGGTGCTGCAACCTACTCTCCATAGAGTGCAAAATGATGTGAAGTGATTACCATACATGGATGAAAATTAATTGATAAAATACTACACTTTAGGTGAAGTGATTATTTTAAAGCTTGGAAAAAATACCAATTATGTAAAACTATATAATTAGAACCACTTCCACATAATTTAAAATATTTAATGCAAAATATTATTCACATGCTATTATACTAATGTATCATATCAATCTGGTGGGAATTACATTATCAAGCCTGGTGTGAACAGGTACACCAGTATTCAGTGGCAGGTGTATATACAAGTGCCAATGGAGCCAACAGGTGCATCAATATTCAAGTTGCACAGTGGCAGTGCATACACAAGTGCCAATGCTGCTAAAAGCTGCACCAGAATTCACAAGCTTCGGTGTAAGTGGTGAGGTGCAGGTGCATACACAAGTGACAAGTAACAAGGGTATCTTTAATCAGTGATAAAATACCTTGATATTTTTTTTCATTGTGTGTGATGTTAGTAGTGAAAAAGAAACATACATGAATGATGTGGATTTTTTTTTTTTTTTTTTTGGAAAGCAAAGAATTAGTTGATTATTACAGTCCATGAAAAAACTTTTGGATAACAGGACTTTCAAGAAATTTGTAAGATAATAGATTACAGATACTGTATTCTACAAAACTGTTAATGCTATGAATTTGTTTCACGTAGAGAAATTTGCCATAGGTACCAGTGTACTTATTTAAAATCAAATACGTAGATTTAAGGAATGCTATACTTTCAGAAATGGAAAGTAAAGCAAGATTTTTTATAAATTTCAGTTTAATTTGTAATTTTGCACTGAGTCAATTTTAATTATCTTTAAAAATTTATATAGTATTTAGTGCTTTGTGAAGATAAATACATTACAGTACATACTGTACATTCCTTTCATTATACAGATTAATGGCAAAGTAAATGAATTTGCATTTGATAATTACTGAACAGTATTATACTGTATTAGAATATTACTTATTTAAAATATACAGACTAAATTATATTTGGAAATCATGGCAGCAATTCTGATTCATTGTGGGAAATTTATGTATCCCATATATATTATTAATAAAAATGTGTTAAGAAATAATTTTGTCCCTTTTGTTTCCCATGCAGCATGGTTTCATGCATTACTTCACATTATTCACTGTAAATAAAGTGTAATTACAGCACATTTTTATATTTTATAATGCCATAATTTGGACAAGACAAAGGTACAAAGTGCTGTATGATGATGCACCTGTAATGTATGTATGTATGCCACTTACAGCAATATCTGAAGGAAAGTACAACAGATTACTGATGATGGACTAGCAACGGATACCACAGTACAGGAAAATAAACTTTCACTACTGTATTGGAACACTACCACTGATGTGTGCTTTCTCTCGGTACTAAACTGTTTAATAAAACATTTTATCATTATTTACTTGATTAAGATTAAATTTAATGTAAAAAATAACTTATAATCATATCAATGTTCTTTGCACTGTTCACTGCAAAGAACTGTGGTTAGTAAATACAGTATAGTACTTTAAAATTCTCAAGTACTACTTTCAACAAGGTATTGTTATATCTATAAAAATTCAGTGAGGTTCAAGGTCATTAAACAATATCTAAACCGAAGTTACATTGTGTGTGCCATGAAAATTACGTTTTGAACTCTCACATTTAAATGGTACTGTAATTATTAAGCATTACTAATTAAAGTATGGCATTTATTACTGTATATAAAAAATGAATTATGCTTACTACAATTATGTTCCATGAAAATAAAATAAGCAGGCAAGAACTCCTATATGGGGTAGGTATTAAATATTTATAAGTGACCCTAATGAAGAGCACTATTTAAAATATCTCATACCATCCCTTTTAATCATATAATGTAAGTATTGAATTTCTACCAGAACTTGGCTGAAATGGGATTTAAAACAAGTCAGTGTGTTTTACAACTACAGTGGTGATCCCTAGCATACAAATGAGTTAAGAATTATTTACATACGTACAAAGGAACCTCGGTACTCGAACAATTCAGTATTCGAATGCCTTATTCAGTAAAAAAAATATAGCTTAGTAGTCGACCCTTTGTTCGGCACTCAACCAAACAAACACAACTTACCAGAACTTTGCTGTATGTGCACTATTTCTTGTTTCTTCTCATTTTTTTTTTTTTTTTTTTTTTACATTGGGAAAAATTCGTTCGGTATTCAAACAGCCTTCTGGAATGAATCAAGTTCGAGTACCGAGGTTCCACTGTATATTGCAGTTCAAAAGTTTGCTGTGTTACACATGATTGTACTGAATATCAACACATGTAAAAATTAAAGTGGTTCCTAATGCCCTATTGGTAAGTGTGGATGTTTGTAGCTTGGGGCATTTGTAAGCTAGAGAAGCTTGCATTGGAATGTTTGCAAAATTACAGAGTTGATAAATGATTATCTAGCTCCCCTCTTGATGAAAGAGTGCTGGAATTTAAAGCACACCAGATCAATCCTGTCACTTTATTGCCCCTTTTTGTTGCACATTCTTTTATTTTTACCATTATCAGTTCAGGTGTTGGATCAAACAAGACATAATGTTAAATGCTGAATAATCAATCGCTGGGTGATCAATGATCTACAGTATGACAAACCAAGCACTGAAGAAGGAACGCCACAAATCCCTATACAGTCACATACAAATATGCAAATACAAACTGGCAAGAAAACACACACACACACACACACACACACACAAACAAAATATTAAGGGCAAAGACAAACCATTTGTTGAAAAATATAAGAGAGCAGATATGATAATCACATAAATAGACAGAGTAAGAGAGATAAGGAAGATCTCTCAGCACTGTACTACTAGCAATTGGGAGAACAAGAGACTATATTAACCCTTAACCCTTAAATGGTCCGAACGTATATATAAGTTTTTTCAACATCTGAAAGTATGTAAAAAAATGTAGATCTTCTTTTTTGTTTTTCCTTTGAAAACATGTAAAAAAAACCTTTACCTATATTTTTTTTTTGTTATATTTTAAAATATGTAAAAAAAGTAATCTACTTTTGTAGCACTATGAATTTGAACGTCAATCTGTTTGGACCGTTTAAGGGTTAAACTGTCCAAACAAATTTACGTTCACATGGGTAGTGCTCCAAAAGTAGGTCTACATTATTTTACATATTTTCAAATATAACAAAAAAAAAAGTAGATAAAAATTTTTTTTTACACATTTTCAAATGTAAAAAAAAAAAAAAAAAAAAAAAAAAAAAACTAAGTTTTTTACATACTTTCAAATGTTGAAAAAACGTAGATCTACGTTTGGACAGTTAAAGGGTTAAATTACAAAGCAGAAAACCAGTAGAGAATGAATATTACAGCTTTTCTTTTCAAAGAGAATAATAGGTAACTGGTATAGGGTTCTAAGAGGCAGTACCAGTGTGATTGCCATTGTCCTGCAACTCCTACAAACTTCAAAAAGGTGCATGAAAAAATTAATTATAAAAGATGAAACACTAAAAGAAATGATAATTTCATGCACACACACAATAGCCGACACTTGATTCCTAGGAACACAAAGTGAACGAGTACACACTTTTAAAATGCTTAACACACTGTAGTATAGATTTCCTATCCTCATCTATTGTATATATAAATAACCCTTTATATACTCTATATTATTTGTAAATATTTGTTCATCTCTTTTAAGAGTGTTGTGTTATTGTTTGTGACTTATTTAAGGCTGTATTCTGAATAGATAAACACATTCAAGAAACAAATTAAACCTATACATTCCATCTGGAAGTTATATCACTACCCAAGCTGCATTGCATTATCACTCATAATTCTTTGTTGTATCTACTATAACGATAGATTTCATGCTTAAACAGTTGTACAAATTCATGTCCTAAAAGAAAAAAATCAATATTTACAATATACCATATATATTCTGCATATATTGTACTGTATCTCTTTAAATATAGAAAATTATGAACATTGACAGAGATATTTTAAGATTCGTGATAATCATTGTCATTGTACATTTGGTTAGTATTGTATGTTTATTCTGCTGGATATTACATACAGATAATTGTATGAAAGATATAACTGGTGTACTGACATTGCTGAAATGCTAATACATATACTAAAGTTAAAATATTTATAGGTATAACGCCTCACCATTTGCACTGTTTACAATGAATATATTGTATAAGTTAATAGGTTTAGATCGATTAAGAAGCGGTTTTACCATGAAAATAATAGGCAATCTATGGATATCAGGCCAGTTAACACTCTGCAACACAATAAAATACTGTACATGTTTGGCCAGTTTTTCTCAATTATATATTATTTATATAACTAACATTTCACTTCATAAGCATGATCATGGTTGCTGCCTTGGGCCATAACTATCTACAGTCTTGTGTTAGGTAAAATGGTTTAGGTATATTGTGGCTCAGTCGGCAGCTGCCTTAGCAAACACATCGAGGGAACAGGGTTCGATCCCTGGCATCAGTTTTAACACTGATCACGTTACCTATGCCTGCCTTCCCCTGTTCACCTAACAGCTGGCAGATACCTGGGTGCTAGGTGATTGCATCCTGGGGGAGAGGACTAAGGACCACAATGGATATAAGACAGACAGTCCTAGATGTCATCCCGACTTGACTGGGTTACTAACACTCACGGTAGATCCAAACAATACACAAATAACCCGCACATAAAATTGAGAAGCTTACGACGACGTTTCGGTCCGACTTGGACTAGTGTGACTTTGTCAATGGTCCAAGTCGGACCGAAACGTCGTCGTAAGCTTCTCTCTTTTATGTGCGGGTTATTTGTGTATTGTTCCAGTCACGGTATTGTGCCTTTTTGTTATTTATTTAGATCCAAACAATATTTTTTTCCTTTTCAATAAGTTACTAAAGTCAATATTACCTTAGCACTCTGGCCGCTACTCCACTGTCTTCATATTATTATACATACTGAATAATTTACCTAACCCATGACAAAACAGCCACAAATAAGTTTCATATTATTATTATTATTATTATAATCAAGGGGGAAGCGCTAAACCCGGAGGATTATACAGCGCCTAGGGGGGATGTGGAAGGCATTCAGGCTTAATTTGGGGAACTGGAGCACAGATCCAATTCCCTAAATCAAGAGCCCCTCACCAACATCAAGGAACCTTCCTCGAGGGGAATAAGTTTCATAATCAAGCAACTTGACAAAGAATATAATTCACATAAATGGTGTCTGTAACAGACGCTGGAAATTAAAACCTAAAATTTACCAAAAATACAATACTGTACTAACATATAAATTTTAATACAAACAAGGACAACTACACACAAGTTCTCTTTTGCTTAATCTCCCTCATACACACAGGTATATGACCAGTAACATGGTATATATTAAAATAATTACAAGGTAGTGGTGTAGTGGTGGTGGTGATGCTGTCTTGACCAACTAACAACAACCACAGAAAACGTAACACAGACACACTCTTCTTTCAAACAATAACAATAATAATACTTGCAAATACTTCTGTCCCTTATGAGGGAAACAAGAAGTGTGTGTACAGCATAATATATATATATATATAATATATATATATATAAATATATATATATATAATATATATAATATATATATATATATATATATTATATATAAATATATATATATATATATTATATATATATATATATATATATTTCAAATAATCCATACTATCGATAAGAAACTCTTGAGTTCCTCCCTCCTGTCATTGATGCTGCTCCTGTCTATCGACCTAAAAAGAATTATCTTTTTTTGGGGGGGAGGGGGGTATCCTAGGTAATCCCCTCAAGGAAGGTTCCTTGACGCTGGCGAGGTGCTCTTGATCTAGGGAATTGTTTCTGTGCTCCAGTCCCCTGAATTAAGCCTGAATATCTTCCCCCCCTCCAGGCGCTGTATAATCCTACGTGTTAAGGGCTCCCCCATAATAATATCCTAGGTAATTTACACATTTGTCTATAATAATAACTGTACTTATGTGTACCTCCACCTAAATAAACTTACATATTTACTTCCATTTCCTGCTCCTCCTGTTCTCTCCAGTTCTTGGGTGAAACTGACCCTTTTGGGGAGAGACTAACACAAAATAAGTGTTAAATCTTAGCCCTGACTTTGCATCTGAAGATGTCTGTTATCTCAACACATCTTCATACTCCAATCTTAAAATAGCACAGAGAAAAGAAAGCAGTCAACCAGCTTTGTAAATTTCCTAACTTTCCCACTGCAATTAAACATGGAGGTTAGAACTTAGGAAAGATACAACCCTGCAAACGTACCGTACATTATTACAATCAAAAGGAAGCGCTAAATCTACCAGGGTCATACAGCGCTGCAGAATACCGTACAGGAAAACGAACATCTTTATCCTAAGTTAGTTCATTATCAGGAAAGGTTGAAGACTCAGTTGATAAATTACACGTGTGCAACACTTGGGTATGTCTATTGTGGAAACGTTTTGCCACACAGTGGCTTCCTCAGTCCAATGCAGAGAAGTATGGTTGAAGGTCAGGAGGAGTTTTGGGGTAATCAGTCCTTCACCCTGGAGTCGATGTAATCAGTCGATCAATCTTGATAAAAATCTTATCAAGATTGATGGACAAATTTCAATGGCTCCAGGCTGGGGGACCGATTACCTCAAACTCATCCTGACCTTCAACCATTCTTCTCTGTACTGGACTGAGGAAGCCAATGTCGTTCTAAGTTTCATTCTCCTATGTTTGGGTTGTGTACGACTGATCTCCGAGGGGTGTCCAACTTGACACCAATATAAGAACATAAGAACATAAGAACGAAGGAACACTGCAGAAGGCCTACTGGCCCATGCGAGGCAGGTCCAAGTCTCCTACCGGCTTAAGCCAATGCACCCAACCTAGTCAGGTCAGGTCACATTGACTTAAGGGAGGAACACGGCAACCGACCTGGTAGCACAAGCTATCAGGTCTAACTCACACCCACCCACATCCACTCATGTATTTATCCAACCTATTTTTAAAGCTACACAACGTTCTGGCCTCTATAACGGTACTTGGGAGTTTGTTCCACTCATCCACAACTCTATTACCAAACCAGTACTTTCCTATATCCTTCCTGAATCTGAATTTTTCCAACTTAAAACCATTGCTGCGAGTCCTGTCTAGGCTAGATATTTTCAGCACACTATTTACATCCCCTTTATTTATTCCTGTCTTCCATTTATACACCTCAATCATATCCCCCCTAATTCTACGTCTTTCTAGAGAGTGCAGATTCAGGGCCCTTAGTCTATCCTCATAGGGAAGGTTTCTGATACATGGGATCAACTTTGTCATCCTCCTTTGTACATTTTCCAGAGAATTTATATCCATTCTGTAATAAGGTGACCAAAACTGTGCAGCATATCTAAATGAGGCCTAACCAAGGATGTATAGAGTTGAAGAACAACCTGAGGACTCCTATTATTTATGCTTCTTGATATAAAAGCCAAGGATTCTATTAGCTTTATTGCGAACACTTATGCACTGTTGTCTTGGTTTCAGAATTTCTGCTAACCAGAACTCCTAATCTTTTTCGCAATCCGTAATATTAAGATCTACATTATTTAGTTTATGTGGCATGATTATTGTCCTGTCCAACATTTAGAACTTTGCATTTGTCTATATTAAACTGCATCTGCCACTTCTCCGACCACTGCATCAGTCTATTCAATCTTCCTGGAGTGCTCGAATGTCCTCGTCAGAATGAATTCGACGGCCTATTTTGGTGTCATCGGCAAACTTGTCGATGTCGCTCTTTATGCCCTCATCTATGTCGTTTATGTAGATTGTGAACAGCAGGGGGCCCAACACTGACCCCTGTGGAACACCGCTCGTGACACTTCCCCACTCTGATTTCTCCCCATTTATGCAAACTCTCTGCTGCCTATTTGTCAACCATGCCTCTATCAGGAAAAAATTTCTCCTCCTATTCCATGTGCTTTAATTTTCCCTCAATAGTCTCTGATGTGGGACCCTGTCAAAAGCCTTACTGAAGTCCATATACACAATATCATATTCATTACCATGATCTACCTCCTCAAATACCTTAGTGAAAAAAGTTAATAAATTCGTAAGGCAGGAACGCCCTTTGTAAAACCATGCTGAGATTCGTTGATTAATTTATGCTTTTCAAGGTGGCTACGAACTGCCTCTGGCAATTATTGATTCCATAAATTTTCCCACTATGGAGGTTAGGCTTATTGTCTATAGTTCGAAGCTAAGGACCTGTCACCTGTTTTGAAAATAGGTATCACATTTGCCATTTTCCACTTATCTGGCACCATGCCAGTTTGTAGTGATATGTTGAAAAGATTAGCCAAAGGTGTGCTAAGTCCTCTTTACATTCCTTAGAACCCTTGCATACAGTTCATCAGGGCCTGGGGATTTGTTAGGTTTTAATTTATCTATTTGCCTAAGGACCTGTCACTTGTGACCCTAATAGTACACAGTTTATTATCGTCCTGTTCTACATAATTTATCATTACTGGAATATCGCTGGTATCCTCCTGTGTAAAAACTGAGAGGAAGTATGTGTTAAAAAATTCTACACATTTCCTTATCACTGTCAGTGAGCTGACCCGAGGAACTTTTGAGTGGGCCTATCTTGTCCCTGATCTTACTTCTGTATACCTGAAAGAATCCTTTTGGGTTAGTCTTCGATTCTCTTGCAACTTTAACCTCATAATCTCTTTTTGCTTTTCTAATTCCCTTTTTTATTTCTCTCTTTAACTGAATATATCGATTTCTCAATTGCCCCTCTCCTCTTTTGATTTGCCTATATATGCCTCTCTTTTGACCAATCAGATATTTTAATCTATTGTTCATCCATTTAGGATCATTTTTGTTTGATCTGATTTCCCTATTTGAACATAATTTGACTGAGCAGCTAGAACTATGCCCTGGAAAGCATCATATCGGCAACCATCACCACCTACCTGACCTTAGTCAGGTCATTCCAGTTCAGCCCACCTAAGTAATTTTTCAGTCCTATGAAATCAGCCAAGCGAAAGTCAGGGACGGAGACTTGATTGCCATTATTAGGGAATTCCATGATATATTAAAACTGAGTGATTTGTGATCACTTTCCCCAAGCTCATCATTAACCTCAAGATTATTAATTAGTGTTTCCCTACTGGCAAGAACCAGTCAAGGAGGTTATTTCCCCTAGTTTTGGCTCTGTCACAAACTGTTTTAAAAAACAATCCTGGATCGTATCAAGAAAGTCACCTTACTCTAAATTTCCTGTCAAATTGCCCCCCTTAATTTTAAATTAAAGAAACCAAAATTAAAAAAAAATTTCCAAAAAAAATTGTACAAAATTTAAAATTTTAAAAAACGGGAAAAAAAAAACCCGTTTTTTTTTTGCAACACCCCTACCCAATTATAGAAAAACAGTTAAAAAATAATAAAATTTTAGTTTGTGGGGGGGATCGTTTCCAATAAAAAACCCCAAAAATAAAAACCCAATTTTTTAACTAAAAAATAAACTTCAAATTTTTCCCCCTTAGGGGGAAAACAAAAACGCAAAAATTTTTTTTTAAAAAATTTTTAAAATTTTTAAAAAAATTTTAATTAAAAAATTTTTTTTTTAAAATTTTTAAATTTTAAAAAAAAAAACCTTTTGGAAACCCCTTTTCCCCCTCCGTATTGATCCCTTCCGTTTCGCCAAAAAGAATTATCTTTTTTGGGGGGGAAAAATTGGGTTCCCCCTTTCGGGAAGTTCCCGTCAGGTGCCTTTTAAAATTTTTCTCCCCCCTTTAATTGCCTGAATACTTCCCCCCTTTTCCGGCCCCGCTGTATAATACCTTTAGTGTTAAGGGCTCCCCCTATAATTTACCGGGTCTTTAACAATTTTGTTCCTATTAATAATTTTAACTTACTTATTTTTACCTCCTCTAAATAAAACTTAATATTTTTTTCCATTTCCTGTCCCCTTTTTTTCTCCTCCATGTTTTTATTTAAAATTTGGACCTTTTTGGAAAATTTTAACCCCAAAAAATTAAAGTTTTTTAAAACTTACCCTATTTCCATCGAAAATTCTGGTTTTAAACCATCTTCAAAAACTCCAATTTTAATAGCCGGGGAGAAAAGAAAACATTTTTCAAAATTTCCAGCTTTGGTAAATTTCCTTTAACTTTCCCAGCAATTAAACCAATTGCCCTTAGAAAAATAAACCCCCCTTTGGCAAACGTTACCTTTTAACATTAATAAATAAAAAAGGGAAACCGTAAATCTACCAGTCTCACCCTTCCAATACCTACAGAAACGAAATCTTTATTCCTAAGTATTTCCATTAATCCCAAAAGGGGAAGACTCATTTATTTTACACTTTCAACACGGGTAATGTTTTATTGGGAAACGTTTTTCCAACAGGGCTTCCTTCACCCAAGGGCCAAAAGAATAATTTGAAGTCAAAAAGGATTTTTTAACCCACCCTTACCCTTATCGAGGGTTCCCATTCGTAATTTTGATAAAATC